ATCTAAAAATTATAAGCCCATCCATATTTAAATAAAGAAAAGCATTTTTCTGATCTAACAGCAAAGCTCTTTGTAATCCACTGAAAGCACTTGCCTAATAATAAAACAAAAATCACTTTAAATCATTGGTTAAAATTATATAGATCAGGAAACTAATTACTGGAAGAGATTTCACTGTTTCATCTTATTCAATATTCTGAGGTAATACCGATCATTAATCTCAAAATAAAGTACTTTTTTTAAACAAAATAAAACTTCTGCATATTTCAAGTTTCAAAACTTCTGAAAGCCTTTAATTAATGATATCTTAAAAGAAGAAAATTATTTTTATGGGTTTTTAAAGCAATGAAAAGGAAATATTTATGCAGAACTTATCACTAAGCTATTTACAGAATCTTTAACTTGGTACCTGCTTTATTGATTCAACAAATATATCTCAGCACCTTTTGCTTTGAGATACTCTGGGGATATATCAAAATCTAAGCCAAGGCCATTGCCCTCAAGGAGTTACACCTTGTTAGGCTGACAAGACAGGTTAACACATACTTTAATGCTAAACATTGTACACTAAGTTTCATAAGAGAAGGGAAAAGTGCACTATGAGTTAGAAGAGGGAGAAATCAATTTTAATTGGCAAACCCAGCAAAGCATACGGAAAATAGTCATTTGAAGCAACTCTTGAAGAGTGAGTAGTAGAGTGGTTACTACAATGAAAGGAGCAGCAAAATCAAAGTGTAAGTGGAGGAAATCATGAAGTACATGATTCATACACCACGCCTTCCCCATTGTAGGCACATTCTCCAAATATTCTTCTATTCCACACTCCCACATTCTCCATATTTCAAGATGAGAGTCAAAGTAGATTCTGCTGCTCTGATGACTATGTCCTACTCCTCTTCCATCCTTCATCCAGTGCAACACTGTCATTACCTTCTACTGGCTTTTTGGTTCACATTTTCGGAGTCTGGTTTTCCTGACATTCCATCCATACTATAATTCACACACTATACTTTCAGTAAGTTCTTTTTTTTTTTTTTTTTGCTGTAATTAACCAGTGAGGGTTTCTATATAAGATTTAAAATTTTAACTATTCTGATAACAGCTACTGTGTCAGATTGCATTTTCCAAAATGACCACAAAAATAGCCTGAGCTGAGGTCTTAGCACTAGCCACCTTCTGACTGCCACCAAAAGACTGATCTCTAGTGAGAACTGCCTAGTCGAGCCCAGTCCACCCCAGAACCATCAGAGGTAATAATGAATGCGTTGTTGTTTTTTTAAGCCATAATGCCTTGGAGTGATTTGTTTCAGAACGGTAAATACTGAGGAGAGATTTTGATACCCAGAAGTGGGGCACTGCCATAACACAATCCTACCACAGGTAGCATTACCTATAGGACCAGGTTGCAAGCAGAAAGTGGGATGATATTAAGGAGATTGTTAGTGGAAACCTAAAGAGCCTCCATGAAAGTATTATGGAAGCCTAGAGGGCTTCAGGGGGGCTGTCAGCGAGGGCTCAGGCAAAATAAGGGAAATATCATGGGAAGCAGTAGGAAAGAGCTCCCTTGTTATGTAGAGGGGAAAGTATGGCAGCACTGTAGTCTGTGGTCATGTGGAAAATAGGAAATGTACCTAATGAACTCCAAGATCTAGCTAATGGAGCTTTTCAGGCAGAATACTGAAACTGCCACCTGGCTTCTTCTCAATGCCTATGATAAAATGCAAAAGACAAAGATAAGCTAAAGAATGAACTGTTGAACAGAGGAGCCAAGACTTGCTGGGCTTGAAAGTAAAACTATTTCATATTCTCAGCCTCTCTAAATGGCAAATGATTCTAAAATTAGAAGTACTTTCTGGGCAGAGATGAAATCCAGTACACTATCAGGAAAACAGGGTCGAAAAATGAAACTGAGGACTTGGTGGTAAGTTCTTTATTTAGATTTTTAGAAAGATCTAAGGTGGTACCTCGCAGAACCTTCTAATCAGACCAAAACCTTTTCAAGAACTGTGGGAGTGTTCTCTGCACATCTTCTCAGTAAAATATTGGGCCTTTAAGAATCTTAAAGTATATTGTCCCACAGCAGTGTCATCCTGAGCCCAAGGTAAAGAAGTGCTTAGCTTGAAGAAACAGAATTATAAAGTGATAGATACATTTAAACACACACAAACACACAATGTTTTGTTTTTTTTTTTTTTAAGATTTATTTATTCATTTGAGAGAGCGAGAATGAGAGAGAGTACATGAGAGGGGCGAGGGTCAGAGGGAGAAGCAGACCCCCCGCTGAGCAGGGAGCCCGATGCGGGACTCAATCCCGGGACTCCAGGATCATGACCTGAGCCGAAGGCAGTCGCTTAACCAACTGAGCCACCCAGGCGCCCCAAACACACAATGTTTTTAAGAGAATTATTCTGGTGGAACCACAGCCACGCTGGACTAGATAGGACAAACACTAAATATTAAGTAAAAAGAGGACTTTGAACCTGTACTATTTAGCAGGCAAGAAGCAGGCTGAAAAGGTTATTGCATTGCAAACTCAGGATTTCTTACCGGGAAAAAAAAAAAGGACGACTTTGAGGGCAGAACCAAAGGCCCAGAGGGTAGGACCAATAGCCATGACTAATACCTACCAGGCAAGTGGACGGAGCCCTAATCCAAGCTCTGGACACAGGCTAGTAATCAGTGACTGCTTTACCTCTCTTGTTTTTTGTTTTGTTTTTTTTAAAGATTTTATTTATTTATTCATGAGAGACAGAGAGAGAGAGGCAGAGGGAGAAGCAGGCTCCCAAGGAGCAGGGAGCCCAATGTGGGACTCGATCCCAGGACCCCGGGATCATGACCTGAGCCGAAAGCAGATGCTTAACCATCTGAGCCACCCAGGTGCCCTCTTGTTTTATCCTCAAGAAACTCTGCCACAGTTGTATGTTGGGGTGTGGGAGGAAGATAGGTCTCTTCAGTTCATAGGAGTTCAAATTGAGAGGAATGGGACACAAGAAAGTGTACCCCGACAACCACATTTAAGAAGCTTCACTTGCCCCTGGGCCTGATTTTGATGACAAGATCCTGGACTTTGAGCAAATACCATAATGGAATGAGACTCAATGGAAGGGGAAGGGATAGACCCTCAGATATCATTCATTGGCGAGAGTATATGTCTCCTCCTCCTTGAATCTGGGCAGGCCTATGGTTGCAGCAGAAATGATGTGACTTCAAAAAGATAAGTTATAAGAGGTAATACAGTTTCCACCAGAGCCCCTCGGGACACTTCCTCTTGGAATCAGTCACCATATCCCAAGGAAGAGGGAAGACCTCATTGAGAACCACATGAAGGTGTTCTAGCCAACATCCCCAGCTGAGGTCACAGCCGAGAGCCAGCATCAACCTCCAGACAAGTGAGCGAGTGAGCCTGGGGATGATCCAGCCCCAGCCACTATCTGATTATACCACTGAATATTGATCCCAGGTACAAATTACCTAGCTGAATCCAATTAACCACAGAATCATAAGAAACAAATATAAAATAAGTCCTGTTGCTTTAAGCCACTAAGTTTTAGGACAATTCATTATGTAGTAATAGATAATTAGAACAGTTATCTATTAAAGAAATTATTTATTTTAATCCTTAACAATGCCAAAAGGATTGACAATATTATAAACTAGGTTTTGTTTCTACAAGTATTTTTTAAAGTAATGTTTTTCTCTTATATAAAAGTTTCTTTTAAGGTGATGTCTTTCTTCTTTTATATAAAAGTATGTGAAGTCTCGGGGGCGCTTGGGTGGCTGTCAGTTAAGCGTCCACCTTTGGCTCAGGTCATGATCTTGGGGTCCTGGGATCTAGTCCCACATCGGGCTCCCTGCTCAGCAAGGAGTCTGCTTCTCCCTCTACCCCTCCCCCCTGCTCTCTCTCTCTCTCTCAAATAAATAAAATCTTTAAAAAAAAGAACAGCCTCTTTAAAAAAAAAAAAAAAAAGAAGTATGTGAAGTCCCTTGTAGCTAATGTATGTTATTCTTTGTCTGCACACCCTATCCTCCAGTTCAGATTGGTCCATGAGTGGTTCCCATTATTCAGGGAATACCATTTGGCCCACCATAGTGAGACAATCTATCCATAGAATGAACTAGTTAGGTATAAGGTAAATTGCTATAACAAAGACTCTCCAAAATATAGTTAGAGAGGCTAAGAAGATTATTCACTCTCATTTAACAGTCCAGAAGTGAGCATTTCAGGGCCAGCAAAGGGGCTCTGCTTACAAGTTTACCCAGGGAGGCAGTCTTTTCATGCTGTTCATCTTCCAGAGACCTCCTAGGATTATTTATCTTCATCTGCAGGGTCAACACCACTCCCTAGCACCACATTTACATTGCCATTGGCAGTAAGGAGGAGACAGAGCAGAATGGATGACAAAAAAACTTCTTTATTAAAATAGATTCCAGAACTTCCACCCCCATTATTTCTGCTGTCCTCCCATTGGCCAAAATTTAGAGTCACCCTTAGCTGTAAGGAAGGCTAGGAAATATAAACTGTAGTTGAGCAGCTATCTACTTAGTTTTGGTACAAAGATTCTAAAGAAAGCCCTATGATCCCTGCTTCTTGGTATTCACACCCTTGTATAATCCCCTCCCCTCGAGTGTGAATAGGACCTGTGACTTGCTTCTAACCAGTAGAATATGGTAAAGGTAATGGGATGTACATAATTACATTGCTTAAGACTGTAGTGTCCATTTTAATAGAAGATGCTTTCCCTTGCTGCCTTCCAAGATGCAAGCTGCCATGTTGTAGGTCACATATAGAGAGGGCCATATAGAGAAGGCCACACAACAAGGAAGTGAGGGCAGTGCCTGTCCAACAACCAGCATGGAAGTGAATGCTACCAAAGACCACAAAATCTAATAGGTCAGAAGACAGAGTGGTTCCACCCTTCAACAAGAGAGCAACAACAACATTGGTACCAGAGGGCAAACTTAAGGCATTTAGTGAGAGAGAACAATGACAGGGAACTAACCACTTAGTCAGCCTGGTCAGCCCAAGTCAAAGGTCAAATTTCAATTAGTAGGTGCACCTGCAATCATAAAAAAATTATAGTATAAATCAGATGCTAAAGAATGCCACCGTAACTTACTGTAATGTGACTATTGCACAGTAGGGACAGACAAATCCACAAATCTGACTCCCCAGAACAATGACTGGATAAACAATGTTAACATTTTTTTCCAGTGACTCTCTATTTGTGGAGTAAGCTGACCGACCCCTTTTGATTGGCACATTCTTTTCTATATGTTCTTGCAATCTGAATGTGCCAGGTTAAGGCCACAGTGCAATTATACAGATTGGATGGATTATACAGTGTAGAGTGACTACATATAACTTGACAACATTGACTTTCATGTGGATTTCACATATTTGTATATTTATTATGAAATTTATCTGACCAGATGGAAGTCATGTGTTTTGAGGAAAGGGTACCTTTTAGTAGTAATTCCATAGAACTCTACAGATGGTTTGAGCAGTTGACTGAGGAGAACATTTTCTAAAATGCATTCAAAATTTACTAAATAGACATACTCTATCTGACAAAAAGAAAGGCAAAAAAAAAAGTGTACTTATGACATTAAGAGAGGGGAGTGAGGAAATGCCTTTTGGGAGGTGACCCACTTGGATATTATCTTATTTTATTTCAATCATTTACTTTCTTATGAACCCTCAGCCTCAACTTAGGACCCCACTCTGGTCCAGAGTCTCAGATCCCCTCCTGAAGATTTTCCACCTATCCCCAAATATGAGAAGTCCCATACCACTGTCCTTTCCTGTGCCTTGTGAACTTTGATGCCTCCAGTTTCAGCCTGATTTTAATGCTTTTTTTCTCTGCTCCAGCTTCTGCCTTCCCTGAAAAAGAAGAGTGGTGGACTTTGATCCCATGAGCACAAGGAAGAAAGTAGGTGACACAATTCCATATCAATCTTTCTACAAATAATGGCTGCAATACATTTCCTCCTGAATTATCTAAAGGCAAACACACCACCTCCAACGCCAAGTGTGTTAGTTCCCTAGGGTTTCCATGACAAATTACCACAAACTTGGATGGCTTAAAACAACAGAAATTTATTGTCTCACCTTTCTGGAGGCTAAAAGAAATTAAAATGTCAGCACAACCATGCTCCCTCTGAAAGTTCTAGGGGAGGATCCTTCCTTGCCTCTTCCTAGAGCTCACTCGGATTTCTGCCTCCATAATCACAAGGCATTCTTCTGAGTCTGTGTTCTAGTTCCCTACTTGTCATAAGGACTTTGGTCATTTGATTAGGGCCCACTCTGAGTAGTCTGCCCATAGGTGTTTATTTAGAGGATCAATAGTGCTATAGATTAGAGAGTGCACAGCAACCAGCATATAGTAAGTACTCAATAGCTGAAGCAATGATAGAGAGAAGGTTCATTTGAGACCTCATCCATCGGTTGGTTAAGCGGCTGCCTTCAGCTCAGGTCCTGATCCCAGGGTCCTGGGATCGAGTCCCACATAGGTAGAAAAAAATAATAATACTATTACTACCAACAATAGCTGCCAACCAATTGAAAACTAGTATTTCTAAGGTTTTATACTAAGTGCCTTACTGTTGTCTCAAGTAAATATACCTCTATGAGGTAACTATTATCATTCCCAATTTATAAGTGAGGAAATGGAAGGCTCAGCCAGGTTACTTGATATATGCAAGGTCATACAGCTAATAAAATACAAAACCAAGATTCAATCCAAATCTGTCTGGCTCTAAAGTCGTATTTACCACTCATTACATTATTTCAAAATAGATGATGACACTTCAGAGACATAATACCAAATGGATAATAATTTTCAAGTAAGGTAGAGACACAGATGTCCTCAAGGATAGATATTTACATTTTTCACTTAAATCAAGGAGATACTATTGCTCTTCCTTGATGAGGTCTCATGAAAGAAAGACACCACATGGTTAGATCAGAAGAATATTTGACTTTTGCTGAGCTCCATCCTTGGGAACAAAACCCAAGAAATAAGCGCACTGAGGCTTCCATCCACCACTTTAAAGAGAATTTGAAACTATGGACTAGACATAACTGCTAGGAGAATTTGCAAACTTTGGAACTTTCTCCAGTATATATATTTCATTAAACTCTTTTTTTTTTCCCCAAAATGATTACCTGAAACTCATAAAGAGAAAAGGACTTGGGTGCTTATCTTCATGTATAATAAAGAAAAGAGAGCTACTTTTTTTTTTTAACCAACCACGCCACATGGAGAAAATAGCCAAAGTTAAGTGGCTAAGCTTTGTAGCAAAATAGAAAGAATTTGGGTGACCTGGAGCTGGTTGGAGCCTGTTTCAGCAAACAAAACATTTCACTGTCTCCCCTGGGACACAAAGATGACTGACCAAGGGACAGGCACTCAGAGTTGCACGGTAGGAGTGGTTCTCAAAATGTGGCTCCCAGGCCAAAACTTTACCGTCACCTGGGAACTCATGTGATACACAAATGGTGCAGCCCCATTCCTGACCTACTGAATCAAAACCTCTGGGGATGAGGCCCAACCATCTGTATTTTAACAAGCCTCCAGATGATTCTGATAGACACTAAAGTTTGCAAGCCATTGCACTAGGGAAGAAGATTTGGCTCATTATAGAATTTGACCTCAGGAGGTACTGTTCTCCTGATGCAAGGTAAAAACAAAAACAAGTTGATTAGAAAGTAGCTGTGCTGTGAAAGCTAGAGAAAATGATTCATTTCTTCAATATTCACCAATAGAAAGTATCACCAAAGAAGCAAGGCAAATAATCCATTGAATGATCATGAGTCATCACTCTCCATAGCATCTACCTTCCATGAATATGGCTACACAATCCACATTTGTTTGCTGACAATTTTACTTGCTAACCAAAACCAAGAATAGTTACTATAAATGATATAAAAATAGGACTTAAAATTAGTAAAACTTACCATATCAGTTAGCAATGAATTTGGCTGAAAACAACATATGCCTAAGATAAACACATATTATTCATTCCAGTCAGGCACATTAAAGAGAAAAAAATGAAAATTTAAAAAAAAATCCAGGGCGCCTGGGTGGCTCAGTTGGTTAAGCGACTGCCTTCGGCTCAGGTCATGATCCTGGAGTCCTGGGATCGAGTCCTGCATCAGGCTCCCTGCTCGGCAGGGAGTCTGCTTCTCCCTCTGACCCTCCTCCCTCTCATGCTCTCTGTCTCTCATTCTCTCTGTCTCAAATAAATAAATAAAATCTAAAAAAAAAAAAAAAAAAAATCCAGACTCTAGTTATCAGTGGAATATCAGGCACTGATGTCCTAAAAGGAAAGGTTCATTATTCATATATACTCATGAACTTGTTTAAAATGTGACAAATCCTACTGCTCAATACACTGGGAAATGTTTGTACATTCTAATGAGTTGGAAAAATGAAGAAAAAACAGTATACAAGATCACACCCAAACCCATCTGAAACCATGATGTTTTGCTTCCCAGATTTCAATACATGAATTTTTAAATTTACATTTCTCATAACAAATAACCAATGTCCTTATCATTGTATCATATAGAACCCATTTTCAAACTTTTTCTTCAGAGATTGAGTACATCAAAAAAGGAAGAAATATTTTAAAATAAACCTTTTTATTGAAGAAAAAGAAATGCAAGACCTCTTACCATGAAGATAAATCCCATGAGGCTGCATAAAGAAAGGTAGCTAAGCCATAGATAAAAGCAAATTCCCAGCTGCAAAACATTACACAAATGTCAATGATGCTGGACTGATGCCAAAACTCCTCAGTGAGAGGAACTGAGAACAGGAGTCACATAGGTTTACGCAGTGAGGGAAGGGGAAGCCGTCCAGGAATTCTATCTGCCATAACTATAGTAGGTAACAGCAGACAATCCTTATCTTCAAGTGCTTAAAATTTTTCTCTACTCCAACAATGATAACCCAGAGAAGATACTGATGTTGATGGGGAAGGCAGGAGACGACACGAGAGCAGCAAATTTTTTCAGTTTAGTTCATACAGTTCTCCTTCCAACCTTGCTGTATTCAGAGACACCTAATTAAATTACCATATGTTTTGAAAAGAACATTTTTTCACTGCATCTAAAACAAACATATGGTGAAATATTTTTTTCAGTGTTATCTTTTAAATAAAGTGAAGAAGAATTGACATAGTATATAATACTTCTAATATATAAGAAGTTTGAAGACCTTTGAGATCTAACATCAGAATAGATGGATTAATAATTTTCTTGACATATTTTTGCATGTTTGATTAATTAATTGGTGTCTTGAGACTATGTCATTTTATATCAAGATTTGAATGTACATGGGTTAATTTAGTAATAGATATCATTTTAATTGGATTCAAAATTGGAGTATATGTCTCTGAGGATCTTAACTGGTCAGGGTAGTCAAAAGTATTAATTAATGCACTTCAGAATATTAACTTATTTTCTGAACGCCTTATGGTCCTCCTGAGCTCATAAAGTTTTCCTCTCAACACAAACTCATGCCCATACATTTGGGTGTTATAAAAGATTAGTCAAATGTAAAATTACAAAAGCAAAGCAAAAAAAAAAAAAATTATCATAGGCCTTCTGTTACTGATTTTTAAATTAGTTTACCAAAAATGCACTTGCAGTATCTAGAAAAAATTCCACTGTGTGTTTCTTGGATGCCCACATCTACTTTCTATCAAATAGCAATGCATCAGCCAGTGTTATCAAATTAAGCCATTGAAGCAATGACTTCTGTCAATCTTTTTGGAAATATATGTGTCACAATAACATGGCAAGTAGTTTGGTGGTCAGAAAACATGAGATTAGTTGTGGCTCTTTCAATCACTATTTTTGCAACCCTGACCGAGTTACCTTGTCTTTCTGTATCCAGTGCCCTTATTTGTAAAATGCTGCTCACTCTCACACTGCCATGGCTCATTAGAGTCTGGATCTTTGAAGCCTGCAGAGAGAACAGATTGGACCTATTTGCTAACGCTGTCATGCTCACTGCCCACCAATCACTTACGGACACCAAATGGCAGGTATTGCACGTCCCACCATTTGCAGATGTGAGATTTAGAAAAACTTAGTATTAAAATTCCACCCAAAATAGCAATTTTTTTAGCTGAAGAAAGAAAAGCTTGAAAACAATATTTACAGTTCTGTTTCTGTCCCCAAATTCTTTGCATGTTCTTACATGATTATGGGAATAATATTTTAAAAGGTCAAAAAGGATGCAAACCAAATTCTAACCATGCTTGCCATTCAAGGGGAGAATGGGATGGAGAAAGTTAGAGGGGGGAAAATGTGAAGAGAGATGTTGACTTTTTCCTCTGAATAGTTGTGTATATTGTTAAATTTTTACAATGGGCATATATTCATATATCATGTGCAAGTGTTTTAAAAGATAAGGTTTATAGTTTTTAATACACAGAACACTAACTTGTTGAATGTCAGAAATCTAAGAAACAAATCTCATACACAAAGGATTTCCTTAAGCAATTGTATGGTCTTATCTAAAACACAACCTCCCCAACCACACCCACACCCACCCAAAAAAAAAACTTCAAGAACTATGATAATTTGTTTTTAAAAAGTCACTAAAAAGTAATAAAAGATATAACACAAAATAATTCCTATTTTAAGTTTTACTCTTGGTTTGCTTGACTTGCTGTCGCCTCTGGCTGGGCCTCTCCTGGAACTACAGTATCAAACAATAGCTCTTTCGAGTGATAGATGAAGCATTATGAATTCTCTAAGAACAAAAGAGAGGCTATAATTTGCCAAAGCAAAAAACGATGTTTGTCTTCTGAAGTAAGGGCATATCAGCACCAAGTTCTACGGGGTATATATATATATCCCTAGACATATAGCACGCAAAAATACATATGTATATTAATACAATTTGCACAAGATAATAACCTGACACCTTGGCATCAACACAAATGTTCTAAACTAGGTAAGAATATTTAGCTACCATTGATTGAAGACTATGCTGGCCACTTAAATACATTGTCATTTACCCTAAAACTTAGTAGGTAGGTATTATGGCCTGAACTATAATCCACCCGAAATTTATATGTTGAAGTCCCAACCCCCAGTACCTCAGAATGTGACTCTATTTGAATCTAGGGTCTAAAGTGGTAATTAAGGTAAAAGTGAGTGGGTGGTCCCTAATCCAATATGACTAATGTCCTTATAAAGAGAGGAGATTTAGGACACAGACACATAGAAGCAACAGCTTGTGAAGAATTTGGAGGACAACCATCTAAAAGCCAAGGAGAAAGCCTTAACTTGGATTTCCAAACTCTAGAATTGTGAGGAAAATCAATTCCTGTTCTTTAAGCACCCAGTCTGTGATAGTTTGTTATGGCAGCTTTAGCAAACTAATACAGCAGGTTAGTTAGTTTATCCTACTACCTGATTCTTTTGAGATTTATTCAAGTCCAGGTAGTGTGCCCCAAAGAACTTGTAATGGATATCTGTTTTGGTAACAGTACCCTATTCTTTCTAAGGGTTTCTATTCCATGGAGTTCTGATGGGTCTACAGTAAGGGGTGAGCACATGATAAAGACTATGACATCCTAAGATTCCTTCCCACTGCCACTGGCCCAGGGGGATCTTCTGGCCCATTTTCAATCAGCCTTTCTCTCTCAGGATCTAAAACTTGAGTAGAGTCACACAGGATAGAAGGAATTTTAGGCATAGTGCCCTAAACAGACTCTCCATGAGTTTTTACCATAGAGATCCCTGGGGCCACCCTGGTTGTTGACCTTCCCAAGGCCTTACATTTTCAACCCTTTCTCTGCTGCTGAGTCAATTCATTTCTTTTGCCCTAAGCTCACTAGAGATAGTCTTTGTTCCTTGAAGCTAAAAACACCTCAGTGATACACATATTATTTTGTACAACCAAGTCTCTCACATGGTAGTCTCTTAATAAATGAGTTAATTGTATAGTCCTGGGTCCCTTAAGGAAAAATATTTGAAAATGTCTTGCAAAATAGAACTCTTCATCACACCTATCCAATGTGGGTAGGTGGCAATGCCATTTCACGGGTGAAAAGGGTCAAAGAACAGATAGTAACATACAAACAGACCTTTGCAACATATCAAACAGAACTTACTAAGAAAATTAGGGGCAAGAAGAAAGAGTACATGGAATTCTGCATTGAACTGCAGAAGTATAGAATTTGCTCAACAACCAGGTTGGAATTTGTACCTGTAGCACACTATGACACAGCTAACCAGGAGCTGGAGAGTGAATGAGTGCCAGAGTTTTGCAATGGTAACTTTGCCCTACTGAACCCTCACCCACCAAAATCTGATGGTTTCCACAGAGAATCTACTTCGTTACCAATGTGACTTAATATCGTGATTTGGTAATACAAATTTAAAATCACTTTCAATAGTTGTGTTTCCTGATAACCCTACACAAGTGATATGCAAAAAAATTCTATTTGCCAAAACAATGATTTACCGCAGGGGAAACTCCTTATTCTGCACATATTATTTATATCATTTGCATTTTGTTGGCATAAAGTTGATAAAAAATATATACTCTCCCAATCCCCTATCATTTATAATTTTAAAATTGCCTAGATCCAGATAATACAATTAAATCCCTGAATTAACATAACCCTTTTCTGCTTAAATTTTAAAACATCAATATAGCTTTCATTTACCTTTCCATCCTCCTTCAATATTAGAAATTAAATTTCATTAACTGGCTTTTTTTAAAATACCTGGGAGATTTTTACTTGAGGTCTCTGCTTTTCCTTACCCAAAGAACTACTGCAATAGTTTTCAAAAGCTTTATAAGCCACGATTTAAACTGATTTGATCATTCATGAAACTGGTATCATGCGCACTGCCAGCTCGCTACCTTAGTTAGTATTAGGATGACCTTTTACATTCCAGTGAAGTAAATCACCTCCTGAGGTAGGTTAACAAATGGAATCAGCAGTAGTCTTATCATATCCTACACCTAAGGAAGTTTGTAGATGTCCCCATTAGTAGCCACAGAGCTAATATTTATTTGCCCAACTACAAATCTACAAATCAAAATCTCTCCTTTCCTCTCCCTTCCTGCATCCTTCCCCCCTCTCTCCCCTCTCATAACCGCTCCCCTGCTTTAGTTTCTGAATGTTTCATTTCAATATTCTGGACCAGTCAATCCCAATTTAGCTTCCAAAGAGAGACAAACACAGGAAGAGAAAACAGTTATGACTTACGAGGTGCTAAAAGCCTCCATGGTGCTTTTTCCTTTATGTAACAGTTAACATCGTCCCCAAGTTCCCACACTAATAACCACAGGAGAAGTTCAAGGCCTGGTCTCTCCAGATCAATGCTGTTAAAATATACACAACTGCAGTGCTAAATTAGCACATGAATAGCCATTAACATGGTAGGGGGTCATGTGCTAGGGAAGAATACCCAAACAGTAAGTAGTAATAGACCCAGACATTTAAGCCCTGACACGATCCAGTCAGCAGAAGAACCACAGATTTAAAGACAGGAGTTGGGGTGCCACTGTGGCTCAGTCCTTTAAGTGCCTGCCTTCGGATCCGGTCATGATCCCAGGGTCCTGGGATGGAGCGTAGGGACTCCTGATTCAGCAGGGAGTCTGCTTCTTCCTTTCCCTCAACCCCTCCCCCTCTTCTTGTGCTCTCTCTCTGCCCCCCCCCCCCGTTCTCATGTACTCTCTCTCTCTCAAATAAATAAAATCTTAAAAAAAAAAAAAAGGAGGAGTGAAGAAATTAAATGGTATGATCTGTAAGGAGATAAGGAAGTCAGCACACTATAGTAAACTGTCTCAATGAGATCGATAGGGGCAGATTCACATCTGTGTGGTCTATGGAGTTACAAATTTTTTAAAAATAGGACAAAAGTGAGTATTTAGAATGAGAGAAGAAATAACAATTTACTCAGTTTTAAAAGCTGACAAATATGCAGACTTTTAATACTGTTTTTCAACATTTTTAACCTGCGTACTCATTGACCACTTCTTCAAATGACAACAGTTGGGTCATATTTTCTATAAGGAGAATAGAAAAGTAATTCAATCTTCTAGTATGGGTGGCAGATTTTTTTTTTTTTTAATTAATGATAGATTCTAAAAGTTTCTTTTAATTTCACAATACCTGCTTCTTTTCAATTCAACAAAGCCTCTCATCAAGTCTTTTTCATATATGATTAGTTTCTGGTTCTATACATTTCAAACATTGTTTCTCATCACTGCCTACATACTTTCAGTGCCAAGAACACGTTCACATGGCAACATGCTCCCGGATCTTGCACCTTCAGATCCAGCTGCCACTGTCAGAGGCAAGTTTCTACAAGGGGACAGCGGCTTTGTTTATGAACCCACACTTTCAACGTAGAACACACATCAACAGACTTTGTTACAAAATTTCTCTGCAACCAAGTCATGAGATAAGGAAGCATTTAGAGTATCAGGCAAATCTACACCCACTTTTAATTGTATGTTAAATGGAGTAAATCACATGAATTTGCCGATAATTTCCTCCTCACCAGAGCAGTTGCTTCTTGTGTGATATGGCTTTCTTCCAGCCTTTTTAGATAGCAATGCTGACCAAATTATCCTGTTATTCAGAAAACTCAATGAAACATTAGATCATATTTATTTTCAATAATTAAATTCATACCCAGCTGCTGAACAAGAAAAGCATTCTTTCTAATGCAAACCAAAATCAGTTTTAAAAAGACATTGCTCACAAAGAGTGCATATAATGAACCAGAATATCCTAAATCTACAGCTACACATAGCCATGTAGACAACTATGGATGCATTAATTTGCAGGCAGTAAGGGGAAGTCCTATTCACATTATTTCATTCTTATAAAATGCAATGTTCTACCATAAGCTAAACAGTTTACTAAAGATTTGATAATCATTCCCAAAATGCCTAATATAAAAGCTAGAAACAGTATTTCCATAGAT